ACACCCCTCACACGTTTCGTGGCCTCATAGGGAGCTCCACCGAAGGCCCCAGTGGCAGGGTTCGCATGCCGCCCCCATCTCACTTTGGCACACCCCTCACACGTTTCGTGGCCCCATAGGGAGCTCCACCGACGGCCCCAGTGGCAGGGTTCGCATGCCGCCCCCACCCCACTTTGGCACACCCCTCACGCATTTCGTGGCCCCATAGGGTGCTCTACCGAAGGCCCCCGTGGCAGGGTTCGCATGCCGCCCCCACCCACTTTTGCACACCCCTCACACGTTTCGTGGCCCCATTGGGAGTTCCACCGACGGCCCCAGTGGCAGGGTTCGCATGCGTCCGCGCCACCCATGTCGACACACCCTTGACACGTTTCGTGGCCCCATAATGAGCTCCACCGAAGGCCCCAGTGGCAGAGTTGGCATGCCGCCCCTCGCCCATTTCGGCCCACCCCTCACACGTTTCGTGGCCCCATAGGGAGCTCCACCGAAGGGGCCCCAGTGGTTGCGTTCGCATGCGTCCCCACCACCCATTTCGGCACACCCCTCATACGTTTCGTGGCCCCATAGGGAGCTCCACCGAAGGCCCCAGTGGCTCCCCACCACCCATTTCGGCACACCCCTCACACGTTTCGTGGCCCCATAGGGAGCTCCACCGAAGGCCCCATGGCTGGTTCGCATGCCTCCCCACCACCCATTTCGGCACACCCCTCACACGTTTCGTGGCCCCAAGGGAGCTCCACCGAAGGGCCCAGTGGCGCGGTGCCTATGAGAAGAGGGGCCTAGTTTGCGTGCCCCCTCCTTCGTCTCATATCCGTGCGGTACTCGCAGCTTCATATGGTTGGGTCCTTCGCCAAGCTAATTTTTAATCAACTTGGGGAGGGGTCTCGCCTAGCAGAAGGTGCCGTTCAGCAGATGGGGCACGCCTAGCACCAAGGATTTTGTTTTGAACAACTTGGGGACGGGTCTTGCCTAGCAGAAGGTGCCGCACAGCAGTTGGGGCACGCCTAGCACCAATGACTCTTGTTTGATCAACTTGGGGAGGGCCATTGCCCAACAAAGGGTGCCACACAACAGATGGGGCACGTCTAGCACCAACTGTTCTTGTTGGATCAATTTGGGAAAGGGGTCTTGCGTAGCGGACGGTCGCCTTCAGCAGGTGGGGCACGCCTAGCACCAAGGATTCTTCTTTAATCAACTTGGGGAAGTCCATTGCGCAACAAAGGGTGCCACACAGCAGATGGGGCACGTCTAGCACCAAGGATTCTTTTTACATCAACTTGGGGAAGGATCTTGTCTAGCAAAAGGTGCCACACAGCAAGTGGGGTACGCCTAGCACCAATGACTCTTTGTTAATCAACTTGGGGGGGGCTCTTGCCTATCAGAGGGTGCCGCACAGCAAAGGGGCATGCCCAGCACCAACTATTCTGAAGAGACGGTGCCCCGCGTCTCCTCTCCTTCCTTCCTTCCTTCCTCCCGCTGCCCCCTCCCTCTGCCCCCTCCCTCCTCCCACTATCACAACACACCCCTCACACGTTTCGTGGCCCCATAAGGAGCTCCACCGATGGCCCCAGTGGCTGCGTTGGCATGGCGGCACCGCACCCATTTCGGCACACCCCTCACACGTTTCGTGGCCCCATAGGGGCTCCACCGAGGGCCCCAGTGGCTGCGTTGGCATGGCGGCACCGCGCCCATTTCGGCACACCCTCACACGTTCGTGGCCCCATAGGGAGCTCCACCGATGGCCCCAGTGGCTGCGTTGGCATGGCGGCACCGCACCCATTTCGGCACACCCCTCACACGTTTCGTGGCCCCATAGGGAGCTCCACCGAGGGCCCCAGTGGCTGCGTTGGCATGGCGGCACCGCGCCCATTTCGGCACACCCCTCACACGTTCCGTGGCCCCATAGGGAGCCCCACCGAGGGCCCCAGTGTGCTTCTCTGGCACAGGCGCACCGCCTGCCAGGTCTGTGGCCTCATAGGGAGCTCCACAGAAGGCGGCAATTGCAAATTTCGCATGGCGGCCCCGCCCCATTTCGGCACAACCATCACACGGGTCGTGGCCTCGCTGGGAGCTCCACCAAGGGTGCCAGTGGTAAGGTTCGCATGGCGGCCCCACCCCATTTCGGCACACCCCTCACGAGGACCGTGGCCTCATAGGGCAAGCCTCAACGAGGCCCCAATGGCCTGTGGCGTTGACATGGCGGCACCACACCCATTTCGGACACCCGGGACACCCATTCACACGTTTTCGTGGCCCCCATATGGAGCTCACCGAGGGCCCCAGTGGCTGCGTTGGCATGGCGGCACCGCACCATTGGCACACCCTCACACGTTCGTGGCCCCATAGGGAGCTCCACCTAGGGCCACAGTGGCTGCTGGCTGTGCGTTGGCATTGCCGGCCCCGCACTCCTTCGGCACACCCTTCACACGTTTCGTGGCCCCATAGGGAGTTCCACCGAGGGCCCCAGTGGCTGCGTTGGCATGGCGGCACCGCACCCATTTCGGCACACCCCTCAGACGTTTCGTGGCCCCATAGGGAGCTCCACCGAGAGCCCCAGTGGCTGCGTTCGCATGGCGGCACCGCACCCATTTCGGCACACCCCTCACACGTTTCGTGGCCCCATAGGGAGCTCCACCGAGGGCCCAGTGGCTGCGTTGGCATGGCGGCACTGTATTCATTTCGGTACATCCCTCACACGTTTCGTGGCCCCATAGGGAGCTCCACCGAGGGCCCCAGTGGCTGCGTTGGCATGGCGGCACCGCACTCATTTCGGCACACCCCTCACACGTTTCGTGGCCCCATAGGGGGTCCCACCGAGGGCCCCAGTGGCTGCGTTGGCATGGCGGCACCGCACCCATTTCGGCACACCCCTCACACGTTTCGTGGCCCCATAAGGAGCTCCACCGAAAGCCCCAGTGGCTGCGTTCGCATGGCGGCACCGCACCCATTTCGGCACACCCCTCACACGTTTCGTCGCCGAGGACCCAGGACAGCGTTTCGTGGCCCCATAGGGAGCTCCACCGAAGGCCCCAGTGCTACCGACCGCATGCGTCCCGTACGCCCAGGACAGCGTTTCGTGGCTCCGTAGGGAGCTCCACCAAAGGCCCCAATGCTACCGCCCGCATGCGTCCCGTACGCCCAGGACAGCGTTTCGTGGCACGCCTTTCGTGGCCCCATAGGGAGCCCCACCGAAAGCGGCACCCACACAGCGTTATTCACAATTGCACATGGTTGGGTCCTTCGCCAGGATAAGTTAATCAACTTGGCGAGGGGTCTTGCCTAGCAACGGTGCCGCACAGCAAAAGGGCATGTCTAGAACCAAGGATTCTTTTGAAATTACCTTGGGGAGGGGTCTTGCCCAGCAGAAGGTGCCGCACAGCAAAGGGGCCCACCTTGGGGATGGTGCCGCACAGCAAAGGGGCACATCTAGCACGAAGGATTCTTTTTAAATCAACTTGGGGAAGGGCCATTGCCTAGCAGAAGATGGGGAGGGCCATTGCCTAACAAAGGGTGCCACACAGCAGATGGGGAACGTCTAGTACCAACTATTCTTGTTGGATCAATTTGGGAAAGGGGTCTTGCCTAGCGGAAGATGCCGCACAGCAAGTGGGGCACGCCTAGCACCAAGGATTTGTTCCCAACCATCCTGTGTTGTTGGGTCCTCGTTTTGAAGAGACGGTGCCCCGCGTCTCTCCTTCCTTCCTTCCTCCTCCCCCTCCTCCCTCCTCCCCTTCCTCCCTCCTCCCCCTCCTTGCCTCTGCTCTCGGCACACCTCTCACACGTTTCGTAGCCCCATAGGGAGCTCCACCGAAGGCCTCAGTGGGGGTGTTCGCATGCAGTTCCCCCACCCAGGGCAGCGTTTCGTGGCCGCATAGGAGCTCCGCCGATGGCCCTAGTGGGGGGGGGTCGCATGCGGTTCCCCCACCCAGGGCAACGTTTCGTGGCATAGGGAGCTCCACCGGATGCCCCAATGAGCGTGTTCGCATGCGATTCCACTACCCATGGCAGCGTTTCGTGGCCCCATAGGGAGCTCCACCGAAGGCCCCAGTGGCTGCTCTCGCATGCGTTTCCCCCACCCAGGGCAGCGTTTCGTGGCCCCATAAAGGGGATCCACCGAAGGCCCCAGTGGGGGTGTTCGCATGCGGTTCCCCCACCCAGGGCAGCGTTTCGTGGCCCCCACAGGGAGCTCCACCGAAGGCCCTAGTGGAGGTGTTCGCATGCGGTTCCACCACCCAGGGCAGCGTTTCGTGGCCCCATAGGGAGCTCCACCGAAGGCACCAGTGGGGGTGTTCGCATGCAGTTCCCCCACCCAGGGCAGCGTTTCGTGGCCCCATAGGGAGCTTATCAATCAGAAACCTCCTAGCCCTCGAAGTCCAGGTGGTGCTGTTCGCCGTAGGCGTAGTAGATAATAAAGATATACCTTGCTATATCAGAAAGGTTTTCCACTCAACACCAGAACATGTTCGTAAATCTCGGTATGGCTCAGGGCGCCCTATTTGATACAAGGCGGCGGCAGACGCAACGCGCGTGCAGAGCGCCCTGGGGACAACAATTTGGGTCACATCTCATTGCTGAGACTGCATGCAATGTCATCGGTCCGAAAATTCAAAAACAAACGTGTCGTAACAGGAGAGCTCGACGTAGAGCAAGCAGCTCGACAATTAGGAAGACATCTTAGCGCCTACGTACAAGAACTCGGTGACCACGACGAAGTACATCATGCCACCAAACTCTCGGCACCAAGACTTGGACATGATGACGCTGCTCGATTCAGCAAGCAACCCTGAGCTTTAAATTCGCAATCGTGGAAGATCAGCCGCGGCGCCTCCGCTGAAGAGCATGCCACACGTCCAGAGCCCAGCGGCGTGCACGAGCATCCAGTGGGCCCTGGCTGCCCACCGACCACGTGTAATGAATGCGGCAGGTCAGGCACGTGAGCCAGCAGCTAGTCTCGTTACTGCCTGGCCTCATGGCATGTCCTTGGTCCACACACCTGCAGATCACCTGCTCGGGCACCCGCGGCGAAACTCTAGCAGCGGCCTTGGGCTTTGCCAGGGAATCGGCGGCTGATGAGAACCATCTCCGCCATCATCTGGATCCACCTTCTTCGGCTTCACAGTCGTACTCGTCGGTAGCTTGGAGGTAACAAGGCACATGATAGTACTGCGCCAAAACCATAACCAGGCCATCATGATGAACAGAACCGTCATGAGCATGCTGGGAGTCGCCGTCAGTGCCACAAAATAAGAGAACCTTCCGAGCTGGCCCACGATCTCGGTCTCCTGGTCCCCGTGGTAGTAGTAGTAGTAATAGTACTGCGCGTCCTTGGTGTTGCTGGAAGCCTGACTGTTAAGCATGAGGTCCGTCGCGCTGGTAACCCCGACCTGGCCGGCCACGGCCATCGTAGCAATGATGCGTGCTGCTGCCTTCCGCAGCTGGAGATTCGACGACCTGTCGGCGTAGAAGTGACGACGAGAGCAGTACTTGAAAGGCTGGCCTGAGGGATCCGTTCCGTCCTCGACCTTCTTGTCGCACCCCTCGAGCGCGCACTTAACCTCGAATTCGCTCTCCAGCGCTTCCGCCACGTTCGCGTAGTCCTGGGCGAATCCTGCAGCACGATCGAGCTCCATCTCGGCGTCACGCATGGTCTTGGCACTGAGCTTCTTCCCAGCAACGTAATTGGGGTCGAACTTGATCGCGTGGTAGCCTCGCAGGGCGGTTTCGGCAAAAGCCTGACGGGCCGCAACCTTGGTCAAGCCATCGGCAAGCTGCTGCAAAGTGTTCGTCCAGCGAAAAACTCCACAAAGGGCCTTCGCGCGCTGAGTGGTTATCTTGACCTCCAGTGCCGTGCGTCGCTCCTTGATGCCAAGACCTCCGCTGAGGGACAAGCTGGCATCATACAACCCTTTGGAGTCGACAGCGATGACAGATTCACCAAGCTTGTGCATAGTAGCCTCGTCCACGATAGACTGCGTAGGGTCGATCATGCAGCTCGCGAAAACCTTGACCCACTCGAGCGCGTCCACCGCGTTCGCTGCAGCCTGGGCCTCAGACGCGAGACTACTCCGCGAAAGGCGATCCAACTTGCGAGACGCCCAGTCGGGGATTATCAGAATCATCGCACACCCCTCGCTGATGGACTTCTCGTTGGCCAGAAAGATCAGGTATCCGCCCTGCGAGCTCCCGTCTGGTCTCGTGGCCCACGAAGCATCCGAGTAGACTCCAAAACGCCACTGTGACATGGGTCCGATATCCTCGAAGTGAAGGGTCGAGCTCGCATACTGCTTGGCAAATCGCAACGTCTTGTTCGTGTCGAGCATATCCTGGATCTTGGGATGGTCGCCTGCAGCCTGAGCAAAAGAGACGCTCGCAGAAAGACAGACCACGCCCTGGGCAGCCGGCCACTGGAGAGCGCCAATGCAGGAACGTAGCGCTCGGTGTTCGGCCTGCGTGCACTCCTCCATGGGCATGGACCTCCTCGCCTTGTCGATCGTAATGGGCTTTATCTTGTGGATGTACTCCTTCATCGAGAGGTAGATAGTGTTCAGCAGTGGACTCTGGATAATATGGCCTCCACAGAATACGAAGTCATGGGCAAGGTCCCAACTGCCAAAACGAAAGCGCTGGTTGAGAGATCGAATGCGGTCCACAAAACCGTACAGCTCCTCTCCTTCGTATGGCTTGATATCTTGTAGGGATGCAATGCCTTCGCCACCTCCGATAAAGTCGTCCAAGTGAAGTCCTAGGACTCCGTCGACGATCAGCTTCTGAGAGTTGTGCATAAACGTGTCGAACTCGTCGTCATGATCCGTCGCCAGGCGCGTCGACAAGTAGAGACAGTTGTCCAGAGGGTGCGACACGAAATGTCGATCTGCCATAGAACTGTCAGCTGTAGTCCACCATTGCTTCGGCGCGCGCACGTCACCAAATGCAGGCTTCTTCATGAGCAAGATCTCGTCGGGCTGAAGGCCGATCATGCTTTCCAATCTCCTTCTCATATCAGCACTGGGTACACCGTAAACTCTGTTCTCGATGTCTTCGCTCTGCGAAAAGGCTGATTTGACATCAGCTGAGAACACCTTCCATTTCCGCGTCACACAGAACTGGAAAATCATATTCCTGCCCAACCTTGATAACGTCGGGCTCTCGGTGTCCAACTTCTGAGTGAGAACGTCGATGTGCTTGAAACCCTGCAAGATGACTCTAGCGTTGGCTTTCCGTCCCTCTGCTTTCTGCTTCCACTTGAGCAAGTATCTCATGGGCACGCACTCGTCGGGATTTGCATCTTCCTTGCGTACTCGTTCCCACGCGCGATTATCGATCCAAGGTGCAAGCGCCTCGTCCTTAGCCTGGCTGAACTGCTTGCGCTCCTCGTACCCAAGCCTCTTCTCGCAGATCGTCTCCGCGCGGTAGGACGCCAAGTAAATCGTGTCCTCGTACTCCTCGCCGTACTCCTCCAGCAAAAGCAACTCCTCAATCATCAAGGTGTGCTCGTCGTTGAAGTCCGATGTAGGTCTCGTCGGAGGCGTAGCATTCGGCTTCAGGGTCTCGAACTTCATCTTCTTGACTGGAGGTAAGCCATCTAACTTTCGGGCTTGATTAACCGACTGGAGTAGAGCTTGCTGATGCTCCGTCAAGCCGTCGCCATCAGCGTCGTCGTGCTCCAAGGGTCTGCTCGACTTCATGCGCACTTCTCCCGCTTCAGTGCGTGCCGGCAGTGTTGGTCCATTTGCATCTGTCGGCGGCCGCGGTGAAGTAGGCGCGTCTTGTTCGCCCGAAACCCTCTCGGCGCCCTCAGGGACGTGACCTAAATTGTTGTCCCCGGGGGCGCCCTCAGGGTGAAGAAGCTGAGAAGCCGTCTGTGATCGCTGCGGCGTCGTAGTCGCAGGTGCTCGCCGCGGCGTCGAAGATGCTCCTTGACCTTCTTCGTTCTCGTTGGACTCGGCTGGTCAATCTGGTTGCTGATCGCGATCTTCGCCGCCGTCAGCGTCGCCGTCTCCAGGAGGTGCGACAGCGGCTCCATCCTCGGGCCCCAGTTCAGCAACGGCAGGGTCGTAAAGATCGTCGGCGTCAACGACCTCGGGAGGCGGGTGGGCACGATGATCCCGAAAATTGACAGTGCCGGCGCACCGGGAAAGCTTATGAGCGATCTCGTTCATCAGCGTGAGTTTTTGCACTGGCTCTCGATGCTCACGTGCTACTCGTTCTTCTGGGTACTCTGGGCGTAGCTGTTCATGCAAGCATCGAATAATTGATGTACCGTGTACCAACCACAGCACCTTCTCTTTGAGCTGACCTTCGCGCACCGTAGGCTCGATGAGACACGCCATGGCGGGACCGCGCCAATGGCATTTTTGATGCTTCCGATCTCCTTCGACTCGCCAGTAGTAGCACATCTCGCCCACCTCGTAGTGACGTCGTAGTGGTCGTGAGCGGGCCAGCAGGGCCGAGCGCACTGCTCGACTATTGTTGGCCTGGATGAACGTTTGGGCTGCAAAGACTTTCCGGTCCATCATGGCCTTGAGCCTGGTGGGTCCTGACTCCTGCTGGCCTAAGTTGTACTCCTCGTCTGCTAAGCCCCCCTCCAAGGGCGGCTGATATCCCAGAGCTAGCATCGCAGGGTTAACACCTCGCACTCCACGCAGACGGTTGCGCTGACCACAGGTGATGCGAAGCACGTCGCCGAACTCATCGTTCTTGTAGCGCTCGCCGTACAAGGCAATCTGCTCCCGTCGCACCGCGCGGTTGCGCTCCAAAATTCCCAACTCATGGTGGCACTCCTTCGGGATGAAATACAAGGCGATGTGATTGGCGTCGGTGAACTTCTTAAACTCGACACTCCTGTGCATCCCATGCATGTCCAGGCGCAACTTACAAGGCGGTCCAAAGATGGCGAACCAGAAAAGGGACAACGCCTTGATCAACTCAGACACGTTCTCCACCAACATATGAACATCAACCTCATATCTAGAGAACTCATCCATGATGGTAAGCACACTTTGCTTCGCAGGAGGCTCTCCCCAAAGAACATAGAAAATGTCAATGTCCACCACTTCGTTGAACGATGTCGCAACTTGTAGCGTGGCAACTTTGAACAGCTTTGGCTTCTGGTGCTTCAAGCAGTCTTCGCAAATATACAGCCTCGCACACACCGAGAACTCCTTGGCCTTGCCCAGGTCGATCATCTCAGCTGCCAAACGCTCAGGTTTGGGATGTCCGAATTGAAGGTGCAGCTTCTCGACTTCCTTGATAACCGACATATCGAACTTGGTCTTCAGCTGATTGTAGAGCTCTCGGAACTCGATCTGGTGCAGGTCCTCCTTGGGGGCCTCCTCGACTAAGCTTGCCGACTCTCCACGCCCTCGAACGCAATCGTCCAACGCCAGCTTGGCCAGTAAGCTTGCCAACTTGGGCTCGTAATGTGCCGGAGGTACCTCACTTCCTGGGTAATGTACTCGAGTGCAGTCGCATACCAAATCTAGCTGAACAGCAATATTTTTCGATGTCGTTCGAAACCTGCTCGAGGAATTTGAGTAGCCGACAAACTTCATGCCTCTAGTGTATACCCCGAGCTTCGTGCGGCAACGATCCAAGAGCACGTCGAAGCATCTCCTCATTTTCTTCAAGATCTGGTGCTGATCGGGATTCGTCATCATATCGGTCTCCATCGTAGCGCCATGTCCGTCTCGCTGCTGTCCCCTGAAGGCTATGTGGGCCACCTGGTAGAAAGCGTCAGTGTCGGCTTGATTATACATGACAGGTGGACGAGCAAAGAAAATATGATCTGGTTTGCGTCGGTCTCGGTAGTCCTCAAAATCTCTTGCCACACCTCGCTTTGTAAAATCCCAACCAGTCTGAAAAGAGAACGTCTCCACCTCCACGTGCTGGCCAAAACTTGCACACTCCTCGCCAAGGGTACCGTTATGCACGAAACACTCCCAAATGCAGATGTGCCCGGTGCTGTATTTATTGAGATACTTGTCGGCGTGGAAAGCGACGGACTGATGCATCGCGATCTGGTCATTTATTCCCAACTTCTGCTCATCATTATCATTGGGTTCCTCGTTGCACGAAAACTCATAATAACAGTTCTCATACGCGATATCGTCATCATCGTCAATGCGGTAGTACTGCGGCTCGGTAGCGTTCACGTCGATCGTAATCAGCTACTCGCTCGTGTTCATCATCACCACGTCTTCGTCCTTCACCACTGACAACAAGTTGAAACCAAAATGCTTCTTAATCGGAGATAGCTCCACATCAAACCATCCGCGATCGGGGTGATCCAGCAAGTAACCTTTGCCATTGCGGTAATCTTGCACAAAACCCCATTGTGCCAGAACTCCCCGCGATAGTAGAAGTGGCGTCTTCCCAGGGACAATGCAAACGTTCAGCCTCTTTGGCACACGGCAAAACGACACTGGAAATTCCACCATGCGAGTAGCGTGTAAAACGTTGTCGTTACCGAACTTGAACACCCGATGGCACTTCGTTATCTTGATGTGGTCTTCCAAGCCTTTGTCGTGTAAAATCTGAAACCACTTCTGCCAGTTAT